GTCTTAACGTCTGTGCTCTCTATGCTGTTGTTGGTGTGTGTCGGGCTGTGAGCTGAAAAGCTACAGCCGGCTGTATGCGTACAGCAACCGTGTGTGAAAAGTGGTCAATAAAGAGATGCTGAAAAGCGTGTTCATGGAAACATCGTCGGGTCTGCCGTGGTATGTTTACAATGGGACTTCTGCTCCTGAACCTCTGCGCACAGCGTCTGCAAATCAGGGCTTTCATCTTTACGCAGGACTGTAAGCTGTCATCTGTGAGCGGTGTTTGTTTTTAACATAGTTCATGGTGGAGCTGCTGACATAATGTGGATCCGAAGATCCATAATTGGCCTACCTGGGGTTGAAAGTCTCGATAAATGCACGGCGTTTTGGCGGGTATGACGCTTATTTTGAGCGATGAAAAAATAATAGAATATAATTGTATTTTTATATTTCTAGAACTACAAGTTAAAAAAGAACTAACATAAATAAAATACATTTCTGCTAAATACTTCTAATTTATTTTCCCAAACCACGCGGAGCCGCACTGTAAGGACTAAAGAGCCGCATGCGGTTCCGGAGCCGCAGGTTGCCGACCCCTGAACTAGGCATAAAAACCCTCAGGTCAGTCACAAGACAACTGGTAAATAAGTCCTGAAGAGCCTCAGTCTGGTTTTCTCTGACCTGTCCATAGTTCCAGTCAGTCTCAGCAATGTCATCATAGAAACCATGATAGATGATCCCCATCTCGGTCATCACACACTCCTCCCTCTCCATCTCATCATCCAGAAACACAGCATCCTCTGAGGGACGACAACATGTCAGGTGATTGAGTGGGACAAAAACCAAACTGTGATGTTACAGTTCAGACTTTAAAAGACACACACATAAAAATTAAAACAACACAACAGAGGATACCCAAATATCCTGATGAGATTTTTTTTATTGTTATAATTGCAGGCTAAAAGTTTCACATATGGGACATTTCAATTTATAATGTGATGCGCACCTTTAAGTCTCTACTTAAGAAGACACAGCATCGCAACTTTACTTTAATTCACCATAAAGTAGCTTTGAAGGTGCTTATTGTAAAGCCCTTGGTCTAAAAATATCTAAAAATCTTCCAAACTTATCTAAGATTATTAACAGATTGCAATAATGATGTAGAACCAGAAACACGTTGAATTTTTTATGTAATAGCACTTTGTACCCCTAGATGGTGCAGCGAATCAGTGAAAGCTTCATTTAAGAACACATTCTTACATTTTTATTTCTCACAGTGGCCTGGAAGAAATTTTAAACCTCACAAGGAGACAAACAGATCAGGCTGGTTAAAAAGAAATATTAATATTTAAAGAGAAACACAGATTTGAAAATTTTGACACAAAAATGCTGAAAATTCCAGGTAACAAAATCCAAAGAAGTGGATCTGATCTGGATCTGAATCAATTTTCTGAGATTGCAACAAATCCACATAGTAAAAGTCTGTCCCCTGCAGTAAAGTTTGTATTTAAATACTTTAAAGGGTAATTACATAAAGTACCTTTATGCCCTGAGCTTTCTACTTTAAATACAAGAAGAAAGTGCTGGGAGAGAAAACTGAAAATTTATATTCATTTCCCAGCAAGCTGCTACTCTGTAGAGATCTTTGTACATCTACAGCACCTCCGTGGATTGAAAATACAAAGTCTACACGGCTACAGGAGTTTCTTTTTTTAGTTCAAACTTGTAACATACACCTGTTAGTTGGGGTTGGATCACGTCCACAGCATAAACAAACCGCTGTGGAGTTTTGGAACTGTACCGAGACCATCTGCCAGAGCCTGGCCATGCCAATCAAAGTAAGACCAAATAGGCATTGTTTTGGTTACAGCGCCTAAGTTATGACCTCGGCAGTTGTTTCTCTGCTTTCTGTAAGGTGGGGGTGTGGAATGTGGTCTGTCTATCTCCCCTGTCTTAGACACAGAGTCTCCTGCTTACAATCTTCTCTTCATGATTCAACAATATAAGCATGTAACACATTCACAGCAGATCAAGGATACAGAGTGATGCACACTTATCTAATAAACTAATAAGTGAATATGTTCTTTTAACTCAAAAGTATAACGAGAACTAAACTACATACAGATCACACACTCTATATTAAAGGGTATAATATGATCTACAGCAGTATTCTAATCCAACTACTTTTGATTACATATATAAGGTAACATATAATAACAGAATAATATCACAACACCAAGTACAATTACTGTTCACACCTGGACAATCAAACCATACCAAGGAGGAAAACTAACCCATGTTTGATTTCAATAGATTAAACGGCGCAGGTGTGAAAACACCCCAAGTCACAATTGGAGCAATGCAACCATGCAAGCAGATGAAGGTAGAAGTTTAACATTATGATTGAGCAGTGATTTCACAGTACTACCTCTGGTGCAAAAGGGTACTTGAGTATGTTGTATCCTGTGTAAATCTGGCTTTGGGGGTGGTTATAAAATGATTAATATTTGTATCGGTTCTGTTCAGGTTTATTGTATGGCTTCACTGTTGTATTTTAAGAGATATTGTAGTTTGTATTTCTTTTCAAATTACTATCACACAGTTAAAATATTGTCTATAAACTGATGTATTTTTCTTAGCTGCAGGGAGGCAGATGGCTGCCCCTCCCTGAGTCTGGTTCTGCTAAAAGGTTTCATCCTGTTAAAGGGAGCTTTTCCTTCCCACTCTCAGTCAACGCTGTCACTGTTTGCTGATCTAACCTACTATCAACTGAGCAGCCATAAAATAATGACTCTGAAGGAAAAACTGCTGAAGCACCTTTGAATGGGAAGGACATATTTAAAGAAGCACAGATCACTGTTGATATTGAGACAGTGCAACATATATATGTGGTCTCTTCTGGTCTTTCTGACAATTTACACCAAATATATGAGCATTTCAACAATGCTATTCAAACCATATTTTGAAAAACCGTGTCATTATTTGTTAATGCATAATAAACAAAGCTTACTTTAATTGGACTCTAAAGATTGGGTTCTTAAATATTTGCAATTTCCTCAGAAGTGAATAATATGTGATTTTGAGTTTGTTTAGTAGCATTATGAAAAGTCAAAGTGTTTTTAAAATGTCTTACATCAACAATGATTTTTTTTTTTGCCCTGTCAATTTTTAGATATACTTTTTTAGCTCTTAAAATAAATTCTTTGAGAAAGAAAAATAAAGGATATAGGTACAAAAACTGTGACTGATTTCCAGATTTTAGGATTCATTCCTCTGACACTCAGTGAGTCAGGGCCGTGTGTGTCTGAACATCCAAATTAAATTTGTTGTTTTTCTTAGCTAGATCATTCATTGCCTAACATCAATTTAAACTGTTTCATTAATGAATTAATTCATTAATTCATTAATGAACACACAGTGTAACACCTGCATGAATGTATTTTATCATCAATAATTGTGCTTTACTTCTTAAAGCTGCTTCATAGTTTCTATAAACATTTTAAATAACATCTTTTCATTCATTGTATTAACGAATTAACATTTTAGAAATGACTCTATTGCTATTACATATGTTTTCTTTCACTCTGGAGGCCACATCATGAATTAAACCTAAATGTCAAATGAAGCAGAACATGAATAAAAACAACTTGAATATAAATTTCCCTCGATTACTATTACATCTCACTGCACTGACACAGTTTTGGGTCTATAATGACACCTAGTGGGTTGGTGTGGTAATACTGCAGGATATAAGGAAGGTGAAATATATTTGTTGTTGTTTCAGTTGTTGTTTTACTAAAATATTTCTATCTGATCAGATGAAGCATAAAACCCCTTATTTGCTGTCAGCATAATTACTGGTAAAATGTCTTTCTCAAAACCATATTAAGACATAAATATAATTTAGAGTTATACTCTGACAGCTGAAACACCTTTAAAGTACCTGCAGAGTAGGTGAGACGAGAAAAGCCCCTGAGAATTAAGTGCGGACTTTTTCCAT